TAGCAGAAGCTCTTAAGGAGAAATTTGCATCACAAAGCAGTTGTGATGATTCATTTGATAAAGAGAACAGTTCTTATGGTGCTTCGCCATTTTCTAGTCCAGATACCCCAATGGTATATACATGATTGTTTTCTTAAACAGCTTTTTCATCATTTGAGTAAGATTCATAATCATATAGAGGAAAAAATATTCTGGAGATGAAAAATCAAGATAAATATCATATAGATATTCAGGGGATGGAGGGGATCTTTCATTTCAGAAGTAAGGGTTTGGTTGTAAACTTCTAGTGTGATTTTTTTACAACTTTTAGAATTATTGCCTGTTTCCACCTGCAGCTAATAAATTACAGGAAATAAATGATGCAGTGTGCAAGATCCAGTACCACTAAGAGAGCTGATTACTAAGTTAAATTGCCACTGATCTGAGCTCCCACTGACATCAGGATGACCAAAGCTAGAATTATATTCTTACTGTATTCCATGAAAGAATGACCATATGGGAGAGTTCACAGTTTTTGAGTGATTTGGAATGATAGTTCAAAGTCTAGTCAGTTTCCAGAACCATTGTACTTTCTCACAGTGCTCTGAATAGGAGATTTGGATTTTCCCTTATCTCTAGTCTTCATTGTGATGCTTAATGATGGATGCTTGTTTACATGCTCCGTAAAGTTTAATACAGGTAGTCATCATTTAGCGACCACTAAGGGACCGTCAAGTCCATCACTAAGTGAAGCGGTTGCTAAGTGGGAAATCATGATCACAACTGTACTTTCCAGCTTGAAGCCGACAAGACTAATCAGTTTCATATTTTTGGCTTTTGTTTGCCTCCTAACCACTCCCCCAGCCTTTGGAATGCTCACCCTAGCACTGGGATAATTAGCAAAAAGGGAATTAATGTTTGTATTTACATTCATTGCAGAGGAAGAGATTACAAGAGAGTAAGCAGATACACAATGGGGAATACACATCGAAAGCAATGTGCCGCGAGCGCACTACGCAAACAGCCTGGTATATTCCCCATTGTGTGTTTTCTTATTCTCTTGTAATCCCTTCCTCTCTAATCTCGGGGGGGGGGGAGTGGGTCAGACACAGGAGAGACTGCCTACAGAAATCCCTTGTTTTTTTTTCTTCCTCCCACTTGCAGAGTGGAGAGATTGGAGAGGAAGGGATTACAAGAGAGTAAGGCACAAAGGAATATACCAGGCTGTTTGCATAGTGTATTAGTGGTTGCTGGCACCAATGCATTGCTTTTGATGGGTATTCCTCATTGTGTGCCTACTTACTCTCTTGTAATCCCTTCCTTTCTAATCAATATTCTCTGCAGGGGGGGGGAGAAAAACAACAGATCAGGCATAGGACAACCGGTAGTGACTATAATGGCAATCATGTGACTGAGGGACAGCACTGTTGTAATTTTGAGTGGCTGCTGAATGAGACAGTTGGTAAGCAAGGACTACCTGTATACATATTAGAAATACCTCTTTCTATAATGCTTTTTATCACAAGTTACTGTAGTAGTTTAATGTAGGACAATGATAAGTTACATCCACTCAGTTTATGACTGGCTTTGGTGGATAAGTGACAGCTGGAATTAGGAGGAGTTTCGTCAATACAAGATTTGAGAGCATTGTTATGTATTGATTCTAGTCTCATTTGTCTGAGCACTTGTAGAAGATGACACTGTTGAGTCTGTTTCTTCTCTGATGACTGTTACCAAGGTTCCTCGGAATTTTCTTTTGTCCTCTGGGCATTCAAAGGCCCCTGACTCCCAGATATATAAAGTTTCAGGGTTAGACACCATCACAATGTTTATGATAACCAGCCCTGTCTTTATCAGTGCTATCACTCACTGAATGAAAGCTGTGATGAATTGGAGTCAGCTAATAAGCTGAGATTCAGTCAGGCACGTTAGAGGTATTGGTCAGAAGACGGACTAATAGGCCAGAGATATTGAATGGAGTTCAACTCTTCTGAAAGGTTGGTTTTACAGCTTGCAGTGCTTCTGGGTCCAGTATTCCTTTTAGGCTATAGATTTGCTGCTCTGGTAAGGGCACCTTTGCTCAGATTTAGCTGGTACCAAAGTGGCACTGATCCTAGATACAGGGGAATCTTTCTATTGTGATCCTTGTCTTAATCATCCCCCATTTAGACCACTGCCATGGATCCTACATGGTTCTGCCAATGAAGCTGTAAATAACGTAAGCTAAGGTAACAGCCTAATTGCTGACAGTATTTACCCAAATCCCACACCCATTGCACTGGCTTCCAGTCTATTTTAGTGCATGCTGAAGATGCTTGTAAGGTTTTTTTATTTGATTTTAAGTATGCTGTCTGTTTTTAAAAACGGTTTTATTCCTACTTTAGATTTTTCAAATTATATTTTATATCTTTTAATTTGTATGTCACCTTGGAGTCAAAAAGCAATACAGATCATTTATTTATTTATTTATTTATTTAACTTGTCCCCGCCCATCTCCCCACAATGGGGGACTC